ATATTTCGCCAATGTTTCGTTTAAGAGATTTTGGGTTTGTCATCTAAATTGCATTTTTTACCCATTGTGCATTGATAAACATAATTTTTTTTTATAGATTTTTAATTCATTCAATTATTTTTAAATACACCGAAAATTCTTTTCATTCATTTAGTAGGTACCTACGTTTTACTTTATCCTGTACGTTTTATTTAGTTTTTTGCTTTGAGATTATATAATATTCGTGTTCGTCCAAAATCTGAATCAGTACACAATTTCGAATTGATTCGTAGCTGTTTATTAAATTACAAAAATTTTCATAAACTTTCAGTGAGTCAAAGATATTTTTTGAGAACCAATTCCTGTGAAATTGTGTGATTATATTCATCAATGTTTTGATCATTCCTTTTTGTGTAAGTGTGTGAATCAGAGTTGCCAGATTGTTTTCATGGTTATCGGTATCAAATGATTAAAAAATCAGTATTTATCGGTATTCACTATTTTAATAAATTTTATATTTTCTCAAACTTTTGGACTAAAATCAAATGTCCAAAAAAAGAAGTTCTAAGAAATGTCGGAAAAACATCCGATGGGGATCTTTCAAGACAAATATTGAGAAACTTCTGGAATATTTTTTAGAAATTTTCGGAAAAATCCAGAAGCCATAAAATTTTGGAAATCGGAAGCCAGGGAAATGGAGAAACTTCCAGAGGAAGACGAAAGAAACTTCTGGGAGAACTCGATAGATACATCCGGTAGAACTTTAATTGAACTTCCTGGAGAAGACGGGAGAAACTTCCCAAGATAGATTGGAAGAATCTTCTGGAAAAAGTCACCAGAGGGCTTACGGAACAGACGAAAGATACTTCAAGGAGAAGATGGAAAATATCTAGAAGAAATAGATTTCTGTGCGATGTTAGCACAATATTCCCTGAAGTTCCTCACATGCATATTCATAAAAAATCCCTGAAAACCCCATAATGTCCCTGAAGTTTTCGGAACATTCCTGAATTGCACTTCGCAATATCCCATAATTTCTCGGAACTCCTTGAAAGTTCTTGTAATTTTCCTAACGCTAATGTGGCTTTTTTAAGTTCTCTGGTTTCCTGATTATTATGAAATTACCGGAAAATCTCTTATCTTCTCTTAAAGCAACTGGATCTTCTTAACGCTTTCATTTTTTTTTAAATTTATGAACAGCAGCATTAAAGTTCTCTGATCCTCTCGTTTTTTTTTTTGATTTTTTTAAAGTTCTGAAAGTTCCAGATAAAAAACACAGAACCTCCCTTAAATGTTCTCACAATTTTCTAATGCTCATGTAGCTTCCCTTACGTTTTCAAAATTATCATGGACCTCTCGGAACTTTACTTGAGTTTTCGGAAATTCCCTGAGCTTCTCGGAACTCATTTAAAGGTTCAGAAATTTCCTTGAATTTATATGTCCTGATGTTCTCAAAGCTTCCCTAAAGTTATCTCAATTCTCCTGAAACAAATGGAACTATCCTGGAAACTCTTAAATTTCTTTAAGAAGTTCCTTGGACTTGTAAAGTTTCCAAAATACTTCAGTTTCCTTAAATTCATTGGAGTTCTCTGGGCTTTCCTGAGATTCCCAGGTTCTCAAATTTGAACAGAAGTTAATAAAACTGTCTTTAGTTTAGCTACCCAAAATTCCGAACTATTCTGAAGTTTCAGAACTTTTGAAAAGTTCCTAAAGTATTCCTGAAGCTAATGGAACCGCAATAAAACTCTGGAAGCATTCCTGAAGTTCTGGGGAAGTTGAAAAAACTGACGTGAGAAGACGGAAGAACTTTTCGAGCGAAGCTAGAAGAAGCTTCCAAGGGAAGTCGAAATAGCTTTCCGGAAGGAATCGGAAAATTACTTACAGGGTAAGGTGGATGGAAATTCCTAGGGAAAGTTGGAAGAAACTTCAATGGGAAGATTAAAGAAATTTCAGGAAGTTCAAAAATTAAAGTTTTTATGGACCTATTTTTCCACTGAATAAAAGTATTTACCTTTTTCCAGAAATTACCGAGATGAGCCATCAGCTGTTTCTTGACTCCTTGGTAACCAAAAACGGCGAGAAAATGGAAGCATTAGTCGAAAGATTATCAAACATAAGACATTTTTGAAGACGACATTTTTTTAGAGCAGGCTCAAAAATTTTAATTTCCAAAAAGATAAAATTACCTTATAATAGTTTCTTCTGACAATTCAGTGTGGCCTGGTAGTAATCATTTTGATTATTAATGAAAAATCGGTATAAATCGGTATTGGAACTGAAAAATCGGTATTCTGAGAAACCTTATCTGTTTACCAGTATCAAGTTTGAAAATCGGTATAAATACCGATAAATCGGTATATCTGGCAACGCTGGTGTGAATATCATGAAGACAAACAACTTTTCTAGTGAGGGACATCAGTATTACATATTTGCCAATATCTCAGGAGATTTATACTCAAACTAATGATAATAAGATTTAAGGTGGCTCTATTTTTTAACATGCACTGTATTACTGAAACACCGACCCTTCACCGAAAAATAGCGAAATAACAAGCATATCTGGCGAACTTATATAGCTACTTAAGGTCCCATGTCGTGTTTCCATTTCCCGTCTTTTTTTTTTTACTAACCGAGAATCAGAAAGCAGCTAATGGTGCTTCCCGGGAATGGCTGGAATCTTCTTTCGACTTTGCATGAAAGTTTATACCAAAATCTCCTAGAAGATTCTTGCAACTTGCCCTTGAAAAATCTTCCATATTTCCTCGAAAGTTTCTCCAGAAAGTAATTCCAATGTTGCACCCAAATTTCTTCAAACCTTTCCCGGAAATTACCTTTAATTTCCACCAGAAGTCCTATTGGCTTCTTGGAAGTGGAATTTATTTTCTACTTCTAATGGGAGCTGCTTCTGACTTGCCGACCAAAGTTTCCTAAAAGTGTCTTCCGACTTCTTCAAAAGCCCCTCTGGCTTCCTCTGGAAATATCTTCAATTTCCAAAAGTAGTTTATTTCAGTGTTTTGTTTTTTTTTTGAAATTGCTCTTTATTCGAAATTTTCCTCCAGAATGACTCCTCCAGAAGTTTCTATTAATGTATTTTTTTATTTCCCGGGAAACTCTTCTCAGACTGTCACGGTTAGGAAACACTAGTCCCATGAGACAGCTCTTATTCTATATTAGTTGATGCTCCTCTACTCAGCCGTTATTCTGCTGTTTCGTTGAGTGTGTGAATTTGAATGGCGCTTATTCAAATTTTTCATAACTACCATTTAATCACTACACAGCTTTGTCGTGAAGTGGAGTTAAATATTATGTACCTAAATGGAGGTGAATTGGACGAAGTTACTTATTCTACGAAATCATTGAAATGAAAAATCCGCTCCGGGATCTGGGATTCGATCTCGTAACGATCGCAATGGAAATCCACAACGCTACCAACTTTTTTAATGAGAACGATGAGTAAAGTGTGCTTCATTTAAAATTACGAATTTTTTTGTTTTTAATCAGTACCAGGCCAAATAGGATAAAAAAAATGACTCGATCTTCTCCGATTTGCATAATTGTGTGTTATGGGAAATCATTCACATTTTTGTTAATATTTGGCTATTTTGGATGTTTGGAAAATGTTAAAGACTGGAATATTTTTAAAATTGTATATTCAATTAATTTATGTTTTAAATAAAGCTTATTTTTGACTATTTAAAACTATAGACACTTGAAAATTGACAAACATCGTAGAACATCAACTTTTTGTATCGTTCGAATCTGCGCCGCGCAGATCGCACATAACTTTCACTACTATGTTACTCGATTTATAATGAATATACGTTGTATCAGCAGATCGTATACCTCGTCTAATTTTACATGCATTATGCTATGTTCAATTAGACGAGGTATAGATCTTGCAGATACAACGTAGATTCGTTATAAGCCTCATAGCCTAAAAGACAGTGATCTAACTATAATTGTTATATAGGTATGCAGGACTTGTATTTTGGAGACCATAGAATTGGACGAAATTAAAAATCTAAAACTAAAAAAAGAAACTTCGTCCTCATAAAAAGTTTACTAACATAATGGGAACATTTTGTAGCTTATTAGCTGAGTACAGCAAGTTGATGTTGCAACACACACTTTTGATGTTTATGACAATCAATATTAGTCATAGGTTGAGTAGAAGTCATGAAATGAGCAATATACTCTCTTTATCACTTTTGTTTTAATTGCACCCATAAGTTGTAAGTTGAGTAACTTTTTAAATGGTGTAAGCATTGATTAGCTACTGTTATCCGATATGACTAACAAGCTCACTTTTCCCAAAGAAATTCTCATATAATCTGCACAAGAACAGATTACAAATTCTATAGAATGATTGCGTTGTGTAGACCAAAATAGATTCATCATCATTCATTTTTGATTCATGAGCTCATCCATTTACAGTAAGGGGCCGATTTTGATATCACACGACTTTTAACGTTTTTGCTTTCCACAAATGAAAAAAAATGAAATCCTGACAAAATACACATGCAAAGTAATTATTTTGGAAACGTGTTACCATAATTGGACGCACATTGTAATAAACATTACTGGGTTACATTTTGTATAATCCAACTCTTTTTATCATTGGTTACTGGAAAATTTACTACAAGTTAACTGAATTGAATGCCAGCAGCTGAAACTACAAAAACCATTCAATTGAACTAATGAGGAAGTACATGTTGGTAAGCGAAGTGCACAACAGAGAGATCGCGAATATTTTTACGATTCTTTATCAGGTTTTCACAGAGCAACAGGTCATACGCCTTATCGATTGTATGTTACTTCACATTTGCGCATCTAGCGTTGAATAAAGGAAGCAACATATTGATGTCTATGGTGTGCGCCCTGCAATGTGATGGGGAAGCGCCCGTCTATCTGTCTATCGATTTGAGTCACTTTATACACATCTAACCATATGTATACCTAATAGATTTTCCCATTTCTTCCTGCTCTTGATAAACTTTCCACCGTCTCTCAATAAGGTAAGAGACACATCACGGGACAGCCTCGAACAGTGAAGACCGCTTTCCTTGTCGCTGGATTATTCTCTAGTCACGCACTGCAACGTACAGGTGAAAGAAGAATTAATTGGTTCTGGATTATTGATTTAACAAACAGTAAGCCCCAGTTAGAATACTCATAAAATAAGTAAGAAGATGATAGTGACACAGCTATGCTGTTGAATGAGACTGAGACAGTGATGTAAGTAAACGTGAATCTTCACTATGACATAATATACTCGTAACTGTGTTCCCGAGAGGAGGTGAATCCTCCTAAAGCAATAGTTAAGATGTCAATACTATAGAATAATCACAGAATGAAGAAATACGCACATGAAAGCAATGCCGATCAAAACGGTGGCAACGAGTCTAGCTCGGCGTTGTCTTCATCGACATCGAACTCGGCCGCTGTGGTGGTACGAGAGCAGAAGCGTAGCAAGTTTAAAATGCGACTCCCGGTGGTACAGTGGGTCACTGGAGGCAATCGTCGGAGTGAAAAGACTAAACGTGCCATCATTCCTACACCACCATGCTGTGGACTGAGCACTGCCAACGATAAGGAAATTCAAACGCAAAAGCAGTTTTCCGACAAATCTGTGCAATGTGACGAATTTGACGGTGGAATGATTAATTACAGGTGAGTGAGAAAAAATATTTCTTATGTTACATGTCCACTATAGGTTATGCGTGCCAGGTGGATTATTAAAACCACTATAGTTATCCTGATGAATGTAATGTGGGCGTCTTAGTGGAATATATATTTATTTTCGCTACCTTATTTGCTTATCTTTGGCAGATACTGATTCGTCTACAATATGTAGACTTCTTCAATGTCTTGTACTAACACTCCACTTTGTTTATGCACAATAGTTATAATATTGGACCCAGTAGGCAGTGTTTCTCAATATATGGATCAACCGGTGCACAGTGGGACTGAATAAGACGGTGAAATCTTTTTCTCCCCTGATTTACGTTTAAGAAAGAGGTTAGGTGTCTTCAAAGAAGTTGCTTAAAATGTTACTCAACATAATTGTCGCCAATGTTTGCATTAAGCCACAACTTTCTAATTTGGTATTTAACCATTTGGGTTAATGTAATGTTAATAGTATTACTTAACACAATGTTAAAGTAATATTAATAAATATATTAATAAGTTATAGAGCTTTGAATTTTAAGAAATTTTGCTCAAGGTACCGAATTTACATATCTAAACCTTAAAGAGATATAATTAGTTTTCTTTCAGGACTTCCTTAAAACTAGTTTTTAGTATTTTATTCATATTGCAGCAAGCCAATATGTCCTAGAAAGTTTGAGATCACATCAAAATGCGCAAATTTTTGAAAATTGATACCATTTTTGTTTACACCAAGTTTATGTACAGCAAATTCAAACTTAAAATAGTCCAATTTCTAAACTACATTTTTCAAATGGAGAAATTAGGTCACACCGGGTACATATTTTTAAATGTTCCTTTAAACACCGCCATTTTCTTAATATTCCACAATATTCTCAAATGATACTTCGTTCAAATTATCCCCGTTAAAAGGCAAGGCTTGTCGTTTCATTACCTATTGGCACTAGCGTGCACAGGAATCTTGTTAAGGAGGGCAATTTTTTTCTATGGTGCATTCAACCTGGGTATGGGGAGTAATCCAAAGTGCGTGGTGGATGGTGCTATCCATCCACCACTGTTTTCCTACTGTTCAATTAAGCTAATTTTATTTATTTTATGCTCTGGTGGTGGTTCATCTTCTTCAATGCAAACTGCTTTCAAACAGCCAATGGAAATTGGTAATTTAATCCCATCGACGATGTCGATAATGATCGATTCGTTCAATAGTTGCGATAGTATGCCTTTAACTGAAATGATACATTTGCTGCAATATTGTTGCCTTGGTGGTTGGATTCAGCTGAAGTCACGTCAGATGGTGGTAATAGCACCGACAAACCGACATGAATGACCAATAAGAATCGCATTCTCCTTTCGCATGTAAACAGTGCGCATAGCAGTGAACAAACAAAGTTCATGGTTTTAAAAAAATCCACGCTTCCATACTACCAACATGGGTATCACTGCGATTTTGTTTGCCCAGCAACTCGGTCGCTGTCTTCCAATTTCTGAACCCTGTAGGAATCGGATCGTACGAAAAGACCGGCAGCGAAATGTTTGTTTGTGTAGAATTGGTTCTGAAAATCCAGAATAACATTGAAAATAGTTTTTGAAGTTTCTACAATTTCTTGGAAGTTACATAAAGTTACAGTTCGAATAATATTTTGATAGAAAATGTTGTAATATTTTTTTACGTCATGCTCTTCTTTACAGGTTAAAAATATAAACCAAAGAAAATATATATTCTTCAGTTTCCTTTCTAAATTTTTTTGCAGTACATTTGTGTATATTTTGAAGGCATCGTTTCAGTTTATTTTTTACTATTTAAAGGTTTTGTAAGCCCTATATGCTGTTGTAGTTACACTTTAATATTACCGTTGCGAGTACGTTGAACTTGGTCATTTGTAGCAAAAATGGTAGTTCTATTTTTTTTTTCAAATTTGACCTAAATACCAAGGCTAAAGGTTAAAAAAATATGTAACGATTTGATCAAAAGCGCACAAAACTATTTTGACAAGCGAGTACAGTATTGTTAACGGAATGACGACTTGTGCGAAGGATTGAGCACGTCAACCCTGTCCCAAAGTACCGCCAGTCGGGGTGACAGAAAATTATGCCGAACATTCAGCATGTTTTAAAGATGAAATAAATGACAAACCTGAGTTTATTGCAACGCATATAGACAGCTGAAACTTTTTAGCCACGGTAACAAATGAATTGAATTTTCCAGAGAAGATTCTTAGACGAATTCTTAGTAAGACAATAATAGACCAAGGTTCAATGGCAAACTAATACCCACTTTTAAATTGGGGAATCCAAAAGCTATCTTTATACTTTGTACAGTTGCAAAAAAGTCCATCCTCAGAATACCTTGAGATTCTTTTCGAAATTAATAGAACTCTATGAGCTCTTTTGAAATTCTTCTCAGAAGTCCTCAGGAATTATTTTTAGAACTCTTCTTGACTTTTAATCATAACAATAATAGTTTCAGAAGAATTTCCTCAGTATTATCCAGAACTTATTCCCGGAATGAGCTATAAATTATCGGTACTCCTTTTTTTTTTTTTTTTTTTTTTTTATTAGAGAGATTTTTAGCCATAGGCTAGTTCATCTCTTAACTCCTTTGAATTTTCCTCAAAATCCCTTTGGAATTTCAATCAAAATTTAATTTTCTCGGTATTCTTTTCGGAATTATCTTGGAGCTATCTGCAGGATTCACAAGAAATTATTCGCAGAATTTTAATGGAATACTCACCAGAAATCCCTTGGAACTGTCATCAGAATTCAATATCCATGAGGTTTCAGAAATTTCTTCTGGAATGAACTTGAAATTATCATCGGAATTCGCTTGAAATTTTGCTCAAAATCTCTTTGGCATTTCACTCGAGATTTTCACGGTATTCTTTTCGAAATTTTCTTGGAATTATCTGCAGGATTCACTTGAAATTATTCGCAGAATTTTCATGGAATCATCCCCAGAAATCTTTTATTTTGGAACTGTCCTCAGAATTCAATACCCTTGATGTTCTTCTCGGAATTCAAGTTTAAGTTGTCCGTCCATTCACCAAAACGTCGTAGTTTTTCTACCAGAAATGTTCAATAAAGCTTGCCCCTCCATTCACCAGAACTGTCCAATTTTTACATCAGGAATGTTCAATTCAGCTTGCCCCTCCAGACAGCAGATTGTTGTAAATTACACCATACATTTTCAATACAAACTTGCCCCCAGGAGATTTTACACATTGATTACATTGACCAGAACGATGCAAATTTTTCACCGTTAATGTTTAATAAAAATTGCTTCTCCAATCTTCTGATTGGTGCAGATTTCCTTTTTCCATCTTGCACCAGACATTTTCAATATAGCTTACTTCTCCTATCATCAAAATGTTGCAGGTTTTTCACCAAATAACTCTGCCCCTATTTACAGATTTTTTTATCATAAATTTTTGTAAAGCAGCTTCCCTCCAATTATGATAATGGTGCAAATTTTACACCAGAAATTATTATCAAAGTTTCTCTATTCGGCAGAAGGATGCAAATTTAAGACCAAAAATTTTCCGAAAGCTTGCCCATCCGTTCACCAGAACGGTGCAAGTTTTCCACCAGAAATTTTCAATGCAGCTTAATTTTAAATAAAGCTTTCATTTACAAGTTTTCCACCAGAAATTTTCTGTTCATTTCATTTATCAGAGCGATACAAATTTTGCACCAGAAATTTTCAATAAAGCATGCTCCTCCGGAAGGGTGCACCAAAAATTGTCAGTGAAGTTTGTTTCACCATGCACCTTTATGGTGCAGTTTTCAGGCTTTGCCTCTTCATTCACCATGCATAATGGTGCAAATTTTCCACCATAAATTTTCAATGAAGCTTGCATTCATCAGAACAATGCAAATTATGTACCAGAAAAATGAATAGACCTTGCTTCTACATTCACCACAGTGTTGCGAACTATCCACCAGAAATTTTCAGTTAAATGTGCACCTCGAAATTTTTAGCGCGATTCAATTTTTCCTTCAGAGTTATTCATAAGTGTGTAAGTGTGGAAATAAAAATCTTGTTTTTAACCCACCCTGTGCACGCCAGTGACTATTGGGGTTTTCTTCACTAAAAGATGGTGGTGGTTTGGGTGTTTAACAATCGACTTATATGAAAGCCGTCAGCTGACATTAAGCTAAGATAGAATCCAATTAAAGGCGTAAATTCAGGCCATTTCTAGCTGCCCTTTTCTTCTATAGTCACTATATTCATAGTCTGGTGGAGACAATGATGGGAGCCAATTCTACTTGTCACTTGCGGGAACCAATCCAGCATTAATGTTTCCTTTTAGATCAATGTGGTCGAAGTATTGTGATCGTGACGGTAATTAAATTGAACAAACATTAAATCAATTCAGGTGGCAATTTATCAATGTGATTCTGAATGCTATTTTTACTTTTTTGATGGAGAACATCACCGGCTAATGCGATGATAAATAATTTATTTTTGAATAGATTTGTTTTACGGATGGAATGGTTATTTGTGCAGGTATGCGTTGAAAAGTGCAAGTTGATCAATATTCTTTTAATACATTTCCTCCTATTCCGTCTATCGTTAATAAGGATAACCTAACCTATCCCGTCAATAAATGTATACATTGATATTGATACCCAAAAAAAAAAAAAAAAAATGTTGCATGAAACGAAAACGTTCTGCAAAAGCTTCAGCATTTTCACGGGCAGATTATTATTGAAAAAATCAAAGTTGCCAGTTTGCAGGATTTTGAATGCCAGACTATAAAGATAGTGACTATATTCTCCCTCGCTGCCTCTCGATGTCACACGGTGGGGCCCTTCGACCAATGAGATGTAAACAGGTGAGGCCCAGATAAATTGTCGTCTTTCACAGTTGATGAGGACCTCAATTCATATCGGGAGAGTGGTAAGAGAGTATGGATTTGAATATTCCACACAAACGGACATGTTCGATGAGACGGACATGGTGCCCTTGGGATTGTGTGTGTGTGTGTTCAATCTAACCCCCCACTGGTCGGCAGTGGTATTATGGAAGAAATTAGCTTACAACAATCCTTGATGTATGTAATAATTTAAAGCAAGTTTAGTCAAGGAGTTAGAAAGCGATAGCTCTACTGCAGATTCAGTAACCCATTTCAGAATGCCTGATAATTCACGTCCATTCCGAGGTTACTTTCAGATACAATAAGCCCCGCATGTTAACACTACCGTTATCATATGAATAATTTTACTGCAAACACACTTCCAAATTTCGAAATGTGAAGTTTCGAAATCCGGCGCGTATTTATTAATATATGGAAATATGCATTTATGTTGATTTATAATCAGATGGATCTCATCAAATTCTGCCTCCTGCATCTCTTCACTAACGGTAATCGAAAAAATCTTCCGCGTTATTTTTACAACCGAACAAGACATTTTAAATTACATGCGAAGTTTTTCATTTGCACCGAATTTTTGCCTAACACATCACTCGCGTGCATCCTCCGGAAAGCAGAACGCCAGCACCAAGAAAAATAATACCCGGTAAAACACTTCTTGGGAGGAAGGCAAAGCACCAAATACGATAAGAAAAACCGACCAACGCGACACCACAGCAACATTGCTACTCGAAACAAATTCTTGTCCCAGAGTTTTCACGTTAATTACAATATCACTTAAAAGCTTTTTAAAACGTGATTGATCTTAATTTACACTTATCCACACGCGAAAACTAATATTTTTTTGACTTGATATAATTAAAAAATATGAGGAAAACAGATGAAATCAGCGCCAGCGAAAACGACGGATATGGTGCCCTTGAGATTGTGGCAAAAATCTGACATGAGGCAAATATCAATATTATAAAATTTCAAACGAGAATGGCGTGGACTAATCATGGTTTTTGTAAAGATTCTGATTTAGAGCACCGAGAGGGCGAAAATATTTGGATAGCGTAGAGCGCTACTTCGTCGTGATCGCCCATTACCGTTCTATCGAGCAGAAATCATCAATAATGTCAATGATTTCACCGTTCACAAATCAATAATATGTTTGTTCCAATGCGTTAGTTCATTAGCTACAAACGAAAAGCCTATTTGAGCGCATTTTATGATTATTTACACTCATTGTTCTCAAAAACAAAAGAAGCGCTTCTAGCGAATCATTTTTTTCTGCATTCATACGTAGGACGAAGAAAATCCAACGGCGTCTCAGTGCGTCAGGACGGAATTGAAACTCAGTCGTACAACGAATTTGGAATCAAGAAGTAGTGTTAGAAGCTTAACACGATTTCAACAATGTGTGATTCTTTATCAAACCCTTGGAAAGGTTAATGCAGACTGACTGTTCGAGAAATGTCTACGGTCCATACAAATTTCCAAAAAATGGTATGGACGATTGTCTACACGGGGTACCCAGGACATATCTGAACTTGGCCAATACGGTTTTGAGTCCTAATAATAACCTACGATTTATTTGGATTGTTTTGAAATTATAGAAAATGTGTAAATTTTCAATTCACCCACAACTTTAAAGAGTAGTGATTTTTTTTCGATCTTTTGAAAACCTGAATTAATCCTCTTGTGGTGAGATCAAATCCATTTTACCCTCGATATGACCTCCAATCATCTTATTTTCGGTTTCTAATGTGATTTGAGGTGTCGCATGATGGGTTTTGGTTGGCCACTTCCCCTGGGATATCCGGAACATGACTGGGTGTGGCCAATGTGGTCTTGAGCACCCAATATTACCAGGGTTGATCTAATTTTTGAATTTTCAAGTGATTTGATGTGTCGCATCATGGGTTTTGATTCAAGTCAGAAACTGTCCACGGTTATATTCATTCATTATGTCACGCTAAATTGAGGTAAAATTTACCCCCTCCCCCCTTTCGGCACGTTTTTCCTATACCTAATGCATTGCTTGTCACACAATCATAACCCCCCTCCCTCCTTAGAGCGTGACATAATATATGCATCACCACTAATACCCTTCTTTGTAATGAGTTCACTGTTAAGACTTAAAATAAATTGATATATGTAGTCCCGATTTCCTCTACAGCTAAGTGAATAAATTTTCCAAAAAGTTTCCAATATTAAGCTCCTATGATTCTGAATGCTACAATATATTACCCAACGATGAGTGCACCATGGTCTCTAATTCGTGAATTTCAGCTGTATTACTCATTTTATCAAACATTCGTTATGGCTCGTCCCTCAGTTAGAACTATATGACCGATAACGGTCGTGGCGGAAGTTCACACGTTAGGGTGCTGTTTTAATTGCCATATAGGTACAAAGAACACGCAAACCGATAGTTCTGAACAGAGCACGTACTTCCCGCAGTTTCAGTTGGATCGGTTCGAAAGTGAATGGTTCTTTTTTTCCGAGCTCTTGACTAACGAATGTGGTTCGCAAATGTGTGGACTTTTTGCGATTTTCAAGCAAATTCTACTGACCTGGTTCAGCGATGTGGAAGACCACGCCGTCTGGATCGGACACAAGCTATCCACAAATCAATTGTTCGAACAGTGTTTGGCTAGTGTAGTGCAGTTGGAACTGCAAAGAATGTCTCAGTCTCAGTGCACTGATGCAACGTCCGCCGTTGCAATGTTTGTATATTTTCAGCTCTTGTTCGATGCACTTGCTAATCGCGCTTCATGTTTTGATTAATCCATTCCAGATCTCAGTATATGGCTCATCAAGGAACAACAATCGATCCCATTAACGAGCGGCTAGACCTGATAAATGGAAACCATCATTTCCCCGTACATCATGGAGGGTGCGACTGCTGCTGCCTGTATTACGGACGAGATGTTCCAATGCTAGGTTCCCTCCCACTTCGTTCACCCCTGCATGACGCACGGCGCCGAAGTCTGGACCAGAGCAATGCGATCAGTGTTTTTCGTTCTTCTAATCGGTCAGTGGAAGTGGCTACCGGGAATCGAATTCCAAGTGAACAACGTTTATTCAGGAAAAATAATTTAATCTCCCAGCCAAGAGATAGTGAAATGTGGAAAAATAATGAAAATAGAATAGCGCATGGTGAAGGTGATTTGCGCACGGAAAATCGGTTTGGTTCGGCGCCGATGTTGAATTGTGTTACAGAATGGAAACCAGAAGACCGATCGTTTTCCAGAAAAAATGTGCATCGCAAAGTTGGTCGTGTGAGTCCGTTTGTAGCCCCTCGTGAAGAAGAAGAAGATTATGAAAAAGAATCCGAAGAAAAGGCGACAGACCAAGTGGAAAATAATCTATCGGCTGAGCTCGAACAGCAGGCCTATTTGGTGTTGGGTATAAACAACCAAGCACGAAGGCCATTTAAACGAAAAATATGTACCCCGTTCAACAAGCGGATAACGATGCCTTCGGAAACTGTCAAGGTAAGTGTTGTACAGTAAATCCACCTAGTACTGCATACGAAAATTATGTGGTTCCGTATGAAAAGAAATCCCAACTAACCGATGGCTGTAGGACGGATTTCTCTCTCTAATTTGGTAGTAATTAATTATTACCAAGAATTGCTGAGAAAGAGACATTCGTTCAATAGTCATCGGTCCATTGTGAGGAAAATATGTCTATTGGATTCCACGAAATATCTTAATCAACGTTTTTCAATCCACAGTGGGCAAAGTCGAGCCAAATAACGGAATTGTTTGAGGTCCTTAAAAGTTAGCTATTCTTAAGTAAAAATCCCAACAAATCGGTTTGTGATGGTTTCATCGACGGCAGATGACGGGAAGTGACTTATAGCCCTGATTTTCCTTAGATTTTTTTTTCGAAGCAGGGTTACTAACGGATCAATATTCTTTTATCACATCAACAAATGTTGGTGGCCAGGAATCATATACAGACTCCGAATTTGCTTCAGTTCCTCCGGGAAGTTTCTTAAAATTTGCATTGGGTTTCAATGCATAATTGCTTTATTCAATCCACATCGCATAACTTAATTAAAGTTCTTCAATTTGCCTATGCCTCTTCATCAAATCTAAGGGGGGGAAATCGAAGAACCTCTGAACAACTTGATTTTCGATGGACATAAAGCCGGAGGTGGTGAGTTTAATTCAACTCTAGGAAATCTTTCGGGTTGGAATTTTTCTCGTATTTCCTGGGCAATGCCCAATGGGCATAGAATATCATTGTGCTTGACATTAAATAGACAAGATCATGAGTTACAAGTCACTTTATCTTTACATCATCCAATACTGAAACTACACACTTGGAAATTATTACCGGCTTCGGTAATTTTTACCGAACTTTTGGCTGCTAAATTGCCCTATCAGTTTGACGAAGAACTCTGATTTCATTATCAACTGCTCCAACGAAGTGAGCGCACTTTTAGGGGAATACCGTATCTATAAACATGGTAAAGTGGCTTATGTAACATTGCAGAAATTACATAGAAAATATTTAGAGTATATCTTAGAATTTCGTAGCAATTAATAATTTTGTATAGCTTTTTTTATTTCGCCCTTTTAATCCGCATTTTTCATATTTTTTTAAATCATTACTTTTAAATCATTAAACTAAAAATTTATTTTTTTTGAATTTTTTTTGCTCGGAATCGAAAAGACATACATCACTGAGCTTTTAATATGTTGTGTAAAAAAGTCCAACTTTTTCTGAAATATTATAGCATTCAATAGTGCTTTTGAATGCGTGACCGAGAAAATCATTTTCAAAATGCTAAACCACAATTAAAGACCACATTCATATTTTCAATAAGAATTAGATTTAATAATCTTTGATTTCTCTATTCTAAAAAATCGGTCCAGTGGTTCAAACGTTATGATTAAAAAAAAAAAACAATAAAAAATAGAAAAAAATGCTGATTCTTCGGACCACTTTAACACGGAAATGGCCACCCTAATAATAAAAAATGGGTCTAATATTTTTCAATTAGGAAAAAACTACCAATTGTTACGAAATTATGAGATCCCACTCTAATTTATTATATGGAATTGCTGTTCGACGGAGTCAATGAAGAGACTTTTGGTTTGGTTTGCTTGCCAATGCAATTTAAGTTAATTAGGACGTACAAGATATGTTAAATAAATTTATGAATTCATGTAGAATTATTTATCAACAATTGGTAGTGGGTACAATGAATACTCAATGCTATGATATTTTGAATATTAGTACGTTGGAAATTTCACATTATCTCACGAAGATCACCAAGGGAAAACTTTAGTCATAGTGAATTTTTGTGAACTTTTCCTTCACTGCATATGAATATTGACCATACATTATTAATTTAACTTTATACCTTGCTCTTTTCAGCAATGGCCAGCCGAGTCGAATTTTGAAACTGATAATTACAACCACAGACATAGTTTTCCAGTTTATGCTGCGGATTCTCAAGGAACGGCCACCGATCAAGGGTATTTTCAACGCACTGATGTTTACCGGCAACCCATGCAGCATACTCACCACGTCTCCAGTACGATCGATAGTAGTTCGATTATGTTCCGCAGTACGGCAGATGATCTTCATAGATTAGGCAATATGGCATCCGAATCAAGGCAAAAGCGAGAGCGTAGAAAGCCCGACTCAATTTTTTTGAAACCAAACATTTTCGAGTCAAGTGGATTCCTCCCCGCAGCCGAAGCAGCGAGCATACCGGCCCCGAACGGTTCAAGTCTGTATAGCAGACTTAGTGGAAGCATCCAGAACCTGTTCATCGGCGGTAGAGGGCAGTCCGGTTCGACATCAACTGCTGTTCGGTCGAGTTTGAGTAAAAGTGAAAATAATATCAACGAACTTAGTAGGCGCCGTGCAGCACGCGATCGGTTTTTGCTTTTCGGTACGCGGGGTAAAGTGCGACAGCGACGGGCAAATAATTTTCTCACCAGTGGGGGAGGGAGCTTCTTCACCTATAATTACGACGAAGAGGACGAGAGCCGGTGGAAAAAATACTTCAGCTTCAAGATGAACCTACTGCGAAAGCAGAAAGCAAAACCTGATGAAGATGCTGGTTCGAAAAGGTGAGTGCTTGTTTTGATCATTTATATTTGTTTATGCCCGGTTGTGTTTATAAATTACATACATCACAATTTTGTACCAGCTTCAGTTTTGGCGCTACTAATATGGCCGATAAACTAAGAACAATTTAAGACCAATAACTGAAAAGGCCCCATCAGCTTTTGTAAACAAAACTTCTTTCATCCTTTTCTCGTGAGTCAGAGTTTTTTTTAAATAATAAATCCTAAGAAAACATTTCAGCACACTAGAAAAAAAATCTTATACATATTGTATTTATGTGTCCCACATATCTAGATAGAGCTGGAATTAGGGCGTAACAGCTTTTGTAAACAATGACTTCTTTCGAAGAATTCTAGAACGCCAAGGTTCACCCACACAAATCAAGATCACCATCGGATAGAGGAAGGCTTCTTCTATCTAATGGTTATGTTGGTTTGCGTGGGCGTACACTAAATTCCTAGAAATCGTTGAGAGAAGTCATTGTTTGCAACAGCTGTTACGCCCTAATTCCAGCTCTATCTAGATATTAATATCTGCATTCAGATCAACAGGTGAGATCTATGTGTCGGATACATACTTCCTCTGTGTGCACATAAATGCCTTGTGTGACCACATACAGTGGTTGCCTTTAAATTAGCACAATAGAGTTTTTGACGTTTAATCGGCGCACACTACTGCACCATTTAAATCGAACGAGTGCGAGCAAGAGGGAAACAGATTAATGGGAAAACAAACGTCCATTCATCCATGTCTAGATAGAGCTGGAATTAGGACGAAACAACTTTTGTATACAATGCCTTCTCTCGTGTGCTAGCTAGATAGAGAAAGACGATTAAACGCCAAAAAGATCTACAGACCAATTTTCATCAGGGGTGGGATGTGGCTGTCAAATACGAACAATCGTCGCCTACCTCGTATAACTGGTTCCAAACGTAAACAAGCCAAAAGAAACCTACATGGTTTGTTTACGTTTGGAACCAATTTCAGACAAGAATGAACAGTAGGCTGATTTGACAGCACGTCCTCCTCCAGATTTTCATACAAACTAGCCAACTTTGGCATGTTGCAACTATGTTTTGTTATGATCAATTGAGCTGAAATTCAGACACAGAACTACTGTAGTTTGAATGTATCACTATATAACTTGCCAAATAAAATGTACATGCAAATTTCAAAACATACTTGCACACATCTCACAGCAATTAGAATGTTGCAATAATTTTAATATGCGCTATGCGTGTGCTGCATAGCAGTCCCATTAGCAGTTTTAGAGGAAATGAGTTATACATTGGAATCGATTGTCAAGTACCACTTTACAATGTATTCGAAAAATTTCCTACTTTGTTCAGAAAATGTCACGAAAAATACCAAAACTATAAGAGCCAAGAAGAAAACAATTCACCAGCATTTTTCTCAGCTTGCTGTTTTAACGAATGGGACAACTATGCGGGGTCTTCCTCAGCTCAGTCGGTAAAGGCGCAGCTACAAAGCAAGACCATGCTGAAGGTGGCTGGGTTCGAATCCTGGTCCGGCCAAGGAATTTTTCGGGTTGGAAAATTTCTCGACTTCCCTGGGTATAGAGTATGATTGTACTTGCCACACAACTATACAATGGTACAGGCATCGAAAGCTCTCAATTAATAAGTTATACAATAAGGTGACGATGAGACTCATCGAGACGGGGGGACAAGCCAAAAAAAAAACTAATAAAGAAAGACAAAAGGAATACATTTTTTATACTAGACATTTGCAGAAACACATAAATCGACTGCATATAGCAGAGATCGTGGTTTCCCAACAAGTGTCTGATAGGGACATAGGGCTGTCTGCCTTGGTCCTCGAGGGTGTTCAAAAGTCGTTCTCTGGCGGCGTCATTATCCGTACATTTCCAAACTGCCTGATCGATATCATCTTAACCGTTTCCACATCGACAGATGTCCACGAGGTTTAGTCTATGGAGATGTGCATCAAGCGAATAGTGGTTGGACATAAGTCTACTCATAATACGAAAGAAGTTACGACTTAATTCCAAGCCTTTAAACCACACTCTCGAAGAAACATTAGGAATATGAATGTAACTACTGTCGAAGATTTCCAGTGTCCTAATCGGATTGTTAGCTCGAAAGGGTACTCTGATGTACTAAATGGTAAAATTCATCATGTGAAATATGCTTACAATACGCCTTCCTGTGCGCCTGCCTTTGCGAGAGAGGTAATCATATATGATCTTTCGACCAGCACACTCATCTGCTCCCTTACCTTTGAAAGGAAATAAGAATAAGATGAGTGTCTAACTGTTTTCATCTACCGAATCTGACACTATCCCAGAAGATGAAGTTATGGTCTGCGGGCATGTTGGAAATCATCCCCAATGCGAAGTTGATTGCTGCCAGCTCAGCAACATAAACGGAACAAGGTTTCTGAAGTTTGCTGATCGGTTGGGAGGTTGATCAAATAAACCTGAATCCAAAACCACAGACTTGTTGGTCTAACCCAGTACAACAACTTTTTCCAAGACAGCATAGCTTAATATATTGAAACAAATGAGATAATCCATCAGAGCTACTATTAGTGAAAATCTCATAAGCTGTTGGTATTCTTATTCGCAGATAAAGGGTGTCCCACATCAAATTGCATCACGGAAAAAAGGCTGTAAAAAATTACCCATTGGGTATTTTCTCTTGAAAATTTGGGTAGAAGTAGTTTAGAGTGTATTGTTTACACTGTATTTTTATCGCTGTAAGTTTTTGGGAAAAATGACGTCACCCGAAAAGCAACGTCGGGAATTGATTTTGCGCAAGCACCTGGAAAATCCTTAACTCTCTTATCGGGACATCGGAAAACAACTCGGAATCGTGCAGTCAACGGTGAGTGTTGTGATTAAACGTTACTACGAAACTCTGAGCATCGAACGGAAGGAGAAATGCGGTCATAATGGACGTTCTATTAGTGATCAGGATCAGCTGCTTGTTTCATGGTCAGATCATATTCAATCGAGGAAGTGCGATTGGTGAAGTGCGCATCACACAAATATCGGGGCTGCAAACCGTTAACTACTTTAAAAATGAACACCATAGTCAAATATACAATTCTTTGCTTCACCGACAACCATTGTAAGGCGTCTAGCATCAAAGTTGAGGAAGTGAATCTATTACATCTCAATATCAAACGCATTATTTTATCCTGCAAGCGCTGTAATCTTAATATTTGTGTTTTTTAGCCGGAAATTGAAGGGCAAAAGTCTAGATGAGGAGAGATGATTTATTTGTATAGCAGTATTTTACTGGCAATAGTTAAATCGTTTTTCAGTCGACATAGAATTCCATACTTCTTGGCAATTTTCTTGATGGCATTGTCTATGTGAGAGTTAAACTTATGTTTGTCATCAATAATCACGCCAAGATATTTAATCTCCCGAACGCGATCAATAGTCTCATCATCAATTACAACAAAGACGTTCTCAATTACTTGATTCTGAGAAATTATCATAAATTTAGTTTTACTTGTATTCAATTTCAATTGCTTATACTTCAACCATCTACTTAGAGAACGCAAATCTTCATTTAATTGTAAACGGCATCATCTAAATCCTAAGCTGCAATGAATAATACAGTATCATCTGCAAAAGGATGAATGTCGCAAAATTGTAAAACACGTCGCAAATCAATAATATACATAATAAATAACAGGGGCCCTAATACACATCCATGGGACACTCCAAGGTTATTCTCCACGTGACTGGAAACAGAATCATTTAAAACAGTCCGTTGAGTTCTGTCAGACAAATAGCTTTCAAACCATTTATATGCAGTACTCATAATTCCAAAGCGCTTGATTGATCTTAACAGGCCTAGAAATTGTTTCAAAAGCGCTTTTTCGATCAAAAACAAAAAATAAAAAACAAAAAACAGCATCAATTCTATCTTTACACTCCATACATATCAACAAACTATTACTATTTTAGAAATTTGTTGTGAAAGGCCAGCTGTTGAAGTATTTACCAACAGCTGGCCTTTCACAACAAGTTTTAAAATTTTCTCTAATGTGTGCAACATATTGATGGGACGAAACTCTTTGGCTTTAATCGTTCCAGCAACTTTTTGAATAGGAACCACTAAGGATTCCTTTTAAATTTGTGGCACATGTCCAGTTTGCAATGATTCATTAATAATGTCCAGGAAGATGTGGCAAATGACATGAAAGCAATCTCGAAAAAATCTATCATTAAAATTATCTACTCCAGCCGATTTTCCTAATGAAAAACAAATAACTCTAAGTTTATCTAATGTAATTGGGTGAAAACCTTCAAATCTACAACTATTATTAACTGGCTGATTTATTTCGTCAGGTTCATCGACCAATTCAATGGATTGATTAATCAATGAAATAATGTCGACAAAATAATCATTAAACTTAGATGCAATTACTTGTTCTGACTGTTCTAATGTGCTATTCAAAGTTATGGACCGCGGTTTGCCTTTACTAGGTTTTAATAAAGATTTAAAATTTTTCCATAAATCTTTGCTGTTGTTTTGATGCTGATCAATCTTCCTTTGAACATATTCACAACGAGTTTTCTTTATCGATTGTGAATACTTATTACGCGCGATTGTGTACCTATTCCAATGATTGTCATTATTTGATCTACAAAACTTTTTGTACCATTTTCAAAGAAACAAACTTTTGCTCAACTATGTAGTTGATTGGTACACGTTTTCAAAGCGGCATTGAGAACAGATGTAGATTCTAAGCTACCGGCCGCGAATGGAATATCCACGCTACTCTCAACAAGATTCGAAACAGCCTGTTTCGAATATTTCCTCCAGCACTTCAATTTTACTAATTTATCGTTGTTATTAATATTATCTAATGCATTAATCACTAAGGTCTCATGATCGGTTATTTTCAAATCAGTGTTGTTCAGTTACAATCAAAATTGGAATAAACTTGGTCAATTTGTAACCGGGTTCCAATCCTTTCCAGATAGACCCGAAGACATAAA